AGGTCGGCCACTGCCGCCCATCCCCGGTGGAAGCCGGTCCTCTTTCTCCGGATGCCTGGCCTCCGAGAATGCCTCTGGCCACAGCAGTCTTCAGTGCCCAGGGGCAGCCTTGCCTGCTGCCTGTAATGTCCGATGCTAACCCCACTGTGAGTGAAGGAGCTACACACAGGACCCGAGTCCAGGGCAGTCACAGCCTTGGGGCCCACACTCCCCGCAGGTGCCATGTTGGGGCTTGGACTTTTTCCTAAAGGCAGGAAGTACCATGGGTACTTCAAAAGTCACCTCCGCTGGCAGGGATAAAAAACAGGCTGGGCCCCAGGTGGCCACTTTGGTGGTCAAGGCTGCGGCTGCAGGGATAGTTTGCAGGAGTGGACTTTAGCTGGCTCAAGTGACTGCCCATGGACAGGTAAAAACCCCACAGCTTGGGGACACGGCCTTTAGGCCTTTAGGTCTGGGAGGACCTTTCCAGGTTTTGTTCTGTTTTGACCCGGTATTGGGGAAGGAAACCAGGGCTGGCAGCTGCCACAGAGCCGCTCTGCACCTGGAAAGAGTCTGGATTCTGCAAGGGGTCCCCGGCCGGGAAAAAGACCTTCCCCTGTGCTGGAGGAGTTGCTGGTTCATTGGACAGTGAGGAGGAGGATAGCAGCCTGGTTCCAGCTCTGACCTCCTGGGGACAGGACGCCTGGGGCAGCTGCCCTCGTGCTGCCCTGGGCATATAAACGGGGCTCAGGAAAAGCAGAGCCTCAGGCAGTGGCAGGTGGGTTTCACTGTGCTAACTGTTTCAGCTCTGCATGTTTGTTTGTTCATTCGTTCGTTTGTTCGTTTGTTTGTTCTCTTTTCGACAGGTTCTTGCTGTTGTAGCCCAGGCTCACCTTGCACTCACCAGGATCCTCCTGCTTCAGCCTCATGGATGCTGGAATGACACACCTGCACCACCAGCCCCACCCTTCCAGCACTAAGCAAAGCAATTTCACCTCATCTAAGGCACAGTGTGGGGCTCTGTTTGCTCTCACTTTCAGCTTTGGGCCACACAGGCTCAGCCAGGGCTACTTGATGGTCTCTGAGCATAGTAGCTGCCAGGCTAGTTGTCACAAAAGGCAGCAGGGAGGACAGCGCAGAAGAGGGCCTGGAGAGCTACAGGCTTGCAGAGCAGCTCTGTACTCCCTGAGACTTCCTGGCCTGCCACTGGGACCCCTGAACCTGCGCCTAGCACCCCATGAGCGGTGGTTTGGAATTTAACTGGCTCTTCCTCTCCGCCATTTTACAGATCCCTCACAGGGTTTTCCTCCAAGGCAGGTGCCTGGTGGGGGGCTGTGCCACCCCTCTCTCTGCTCCCCACAACAGACAGCACAGGACTGCATGCAGCCAGCCTGGAGCCACACTCCCTGCTTTCTCAGCTCCCCACCTGCCTTGCCTGAGGCTTTTCCTTTCTTTCTCCAGCAGCTTTGGAAGGGATGAGCATCTCAGGTGACCATGGACCTGGACCCTTTGTCTCCTGTACTTTGGGGGATCTGGGGGACCACGAGCCATCTGCCACCCAAGGTGTTGGCTGCCCTGCACCTCTTCCTCTGCAAGGCCCAGAATGCTTACTTGAAACTTAGGTCCTGAGGTGGGGAGATGCCCGGGAGGCACCATATTCTCAGACCCATCCAGGAAGGAGTCTCTCACCCGAGGTGACCAAGCCAAGTCACAGGTACCTCCATGATCCGGGGACACCACACACCAAAGTGAAAGTGATCTAAATCCTAAAATTCGAACTGTAAGGAAAACTGGAAATCCCCACGGAGGCGAATTCATTTGGTGTGCTGAAGAGCAGGCCATCCCAAACATGTAAGACCCTGGGCCTGCAGCATCAGGGAGCAGCAGAAATCGGGTGATTTGCTGAAAGTAAAAGTAGCTGCTTCCTATTTTTAAATTCTTCAGTGTATTTTTTTTGAAGCACCGGGAAGTGAACCCAACATCTTCGCGCTGAATGACATCTCCAGCTGTTTTCTTCTTGTTTTGCTTTTCACTTTTCAGACAGGGCCCCCCAAGTAGCCTGTGGAGGGTTTGACCCTCCTGCCTCAGCTTCCCAGAGTGCTGAAGTTACAGGTATGCCCCACCACGCCTCACTCACTTCCTCTATTTCCTCCCCTGGAATTAGCCAAACAGTCTGAAGGTTGTGGAGTCACAGGGACCTTGTCAAGGTAACCTCAGCAGTGGCTGACTCCCTGGGGACGCATTCGCAGTTCTTGTCCTCCAATGACCTTTGGTGACGCCTGACCAGACACCAGCCTCTCTGAGGACTCTCCCTGCCCTCTGGCTGTCCACTCACATGGCTAGTGGTGGCCCTGCAAGTCCCTCCTGGAGTCCCTGCAGCAGCAGGGCCTAGCAGCCCCACACCCCTGACCCAGCCAGCTCCACCACCACCCAGGAGGGCTCAGCACTGCAGCATGAGGGCAAGTGTGGCAAGGAACCATGGCCAGGGGTCTTTAATCAACCCTTTCTTCAGCACTCACCATCCATGTCCAGTACAACTCCTGCAGGCCCATCTGCTGTCCTTGCCCGCCCCAAGATGACCTCGTGTGCCCGTGGTCCCAGTACAGTGTCTCCATCCGGGTGTAGAGCCCGGTGTAGCCCCCGCCGCGCCCCTCTGCTGCCCTGCCCTGCTCTCCCCTCCCCGACCCTCCCCAGGGCTTAGACTCTTGCCAGTGTGAGAAAGACCCACTCCCTGTTGTCCTGCATTGTGCTCCTTATGTGCACCCCGAGTTTGTCCCATAGGAGAAACCTCGAGACAGCTGTGCATGAGTCTGATTACCCCCCTCAGCGTCGTAGCCTCAGGAGCACGCACCCTCCCAGAGGACCCCGGCCTGTCCTTCCCTGGGCAGGGCTGCGCCCGTGGCAGATGACACCACACAGCCTTATTGCATTCACTTTAACTCACCACAGCCAACTCGAGTGGCCTCACGCTGCCCGACAGTGGGGCTGCCCCTCCCGGCTTCTGCTCCGAGGCCAGATCTGAGCCATGCTGTCTCCGGGCCAAGATTGTTTTTGGTCCATTGGTTTGGGACAGTGGAGCTGAGTCATAGGCCGGCGTGGGCACGCTGTGGCGTGGCACTGGGAGGAGGGAACTTGCACTGCACAGAGTGGGGGTGGCCCTCGTGGTAGTGCCACTGATACTATCCCAGAGGAAGTGGGTTCGGAGCCCTGCAGGTCCCCACGGCTGAAGCAGGCGGTGTTGGTGCAGGTTGGAACCGAAGCTGAGGGACAGCTGGGGTTGAGGGCACTGAGATGGATGATGGGCACACGGCACAGGGCACAGGGCAGATGAGGAACCAGCAGCTCAGGATCCAGGGACGTCAGCAGGTGACCGGGCCCAGCTGGCCAACACTGCCAGTCCTTCCTGCTGGGAGTGATCTTGGCTGGCTTCATGGGAAGGAAAGGGGGTCATTGGGGCACCTGCAGGAGGCGTCAGAGTGCAGGTGCTACACCGGAAGGGCAGCAGGGACCAGAAGCCCATCCAACGCAGCCCACATGACTTCTGGTGTCTTGTCCCTGATTCCAGGGGATGTCACAGTCCAGGCCTGTGGCATGGGGTGACCTGGAAGCTCAAGAGTCACCTGTGGAGCCCCCTCCATCCTGGGGAGCTGTCCAGCTCCACAGCCTAGGAGGAGAGCCCAGGAGACCAGCGCTGTCCAGCAGTGGCCACCCCTTCCTCCTCGGTTCCTTAGTGGGAAAAGCCAGCTCTGCTCGCAACATGCAGCTGTCAGGGCTCCCTGCTTCTGCCCCCACCCTGTACCCATGAGTGGTCCTCAGGCTGTAGAGCCCCCTCTTCCGAAGTTTCCAGAAATGCAGAACCCACTGTTCCCCTGCAGTCCGCTGGCTTGAAGGTGTTCCAGGTGTAGTCCAGTGATGCACTGTGTTTACAGCAGTGCAGCTCACTCTAGGAAGCATCCTGCGTCCACCGGCAGATGGATGGCTGAAGAAAAGGTACTACCTACACAGGGGAGCACTACTCTGCCATGAAGGAGGACAACGTTTGGTGCTTTGTAGGAAAACAGATGCAACCGAGACCAAAACGTTAGGTGAAATAAATCAGACTCAGCTTAAACATGGCCTGGTTTCTCCTAAGATGAGCAGCCCAGAGAATAACTAACTTGAAAAGCACAATAAAGGAAACACAAAATAAAGGAAAATAAAGGACACAGGGAGGCATGCACTGCAAACCATGCTAACAGAATCAGTGAGTGAGCGGAGAGGAAGGAAAGGACAGAGAGAGGGACCGCTCTGCTGCCCGTCCCTTTGCAGAACCTGGGCCTTGACCCGGCAGCCAGGACAGCCGTGCGCATGCAGGAGACAGTGTGCGCAGCGGGTGCGCCTCCAGCTCTGTGAAAGACCCTGAGGAAGACACGGGCCGAGCCCCCCAGCCCGGCCAAGCCTGGCACCTGTGACCTCACCCTGGTGATGCCCCAACTGGGAACTGGCTGCTTCTCTCCCCACCCTGCCACCCAGCCTCCGCACTCAAGGCCCCCGCTGCCTGCCTGGCCCTTCCTTGCTCTACACAGTGGGAGTGGAGAGAAGCCGCCCCTCCTCCGCCCACACCTGTGGCTTTGACTTTAGCTGGTGCAGCCAGGCAGCTGCTTCATGGCTTGGCATGAGACAGTCTGTATCCACTGAAAGTCTGCTAAGAACCAGTTCAGCCCAAGTCATACACTGATTACCTGTGCACCAAGGCGCAGCGCACTCTTCCAACAAAATCAAGGCGTGGCATCCCAGGGCTGTCATCTCAGCCCTCGGGAGGGTGAGGCAGGAGGGCTGCCATGGAGCTCAATCTGGGCTACAGTTCTAGACCAGCCCGAATTACACAGCAATAGCTGTCACCACAACTGAATCACTAAATACACAGGCATCAGAGCAATCACAGGAGCCTAATGTTCACTTGTTGGCCCCCAAGCCCCAGGAGAATGTCAGCTCTGTGTTAAATTCAGAATGCACAGGGAAAAGACATCCTGCAGGCCTCGTTCATTTCATAAATAATGTCTTTATTTATTTCATATGGCTATTGAGGAGGGCATCCATGATCGATACAGACTAAACACGATGCACGGTTCCAGCGGCTCGTACCTCTATGTACAGTGTGGGAGACAGCTGGGAGGGTGCTGTCCTAACACAAGAGCGGGAGAAGCATATTTAACATCTTGAGACCCGAAGTAACACGTACCCCAAAGAAGCACTGTTCATAACGGTTAAAGTTTATATAGCAAAAAATAGTTTAAATTTAAGGTAAGTCAGGCAAAATGTACAAAGATCCAATATACATTGTGAATTATCTTTTTTTGCAAACATAACATACATTTTGGTTCCATTCTGTAAACTAAATTAAAAATGTAATATTGCATATGCCTTTTTTTCTTGAAATGTACAGGATAGAGGAAAATTTTAGTATAGCATCACCTTCTCAACCCTGCTCATTTTAGGCTGCAGGAGGGGCCCGGACCATCGTGTGGGCTGGGGTGGGGTCGTGCTGAACCGCTGGGGGGCTCGCGGCGGCCGTAGGTGCCGGGGTCACAGGGCACTACCACCCACCAATTCCTCATCCCTAAAGAAAACTTCGGGGACACTCTGTACGTCCTGACAAAGCCTGTTGTTCGCAGGCAGTGACCTTCAAACTGACTACACGCAGCTGGGATGAGCACTCCGGAAAGTAAAACCTTGCTTTACATTCAACTCTGTCTTGCAGTACAATCCTCGGTTCTAAAGAGTTCAGCACAGAAGCAGGAAGACGTGTGCATTGCCATTAAACATAGTTTTAAGACATTGAAAATGTTGGTCTTCCTCTACGAAGCCTCAGTTTAGTAATGCATTGTCCTATATGATATAGATCTGTATATTTATATATATATATATATATTTTTTTTTTTCCTCCAAAACAAAAAGTAACAACAGAAAAAACAAACCAACAAGTCACATCTCCAAGAATTAGTGTGGCCTCTATAGGACTATTGGGGAGACAGGCACTGGGCAGGGGTCCAGCCACGTGTTCAGGGAGCCATGGGGACCAGGACGGCTGTGGTCATCACCGCAACGCTGGCATTTCCCAAACACTGAAAGCAGGATGAGGGTGACCTCGCTGAGGGCTCCTCTGAGGAGTGACCGGTCCTGTGAGGCCACTCTCCGCCAGCTCCTGCCCCGAGCGGCACAGTTGGATGGTGTCCTCTCTGCAGTCAGGGTAGTCTGGGGCCTGCATTAGGCTGCCATGTTTAAAGATCGTGCTGTATTTTACACACAAAATCCGCCACACCCAGAGCAGCTATGGTCACTGGCTGCCCATGTGGATTTTTGGTAGAAAGGCCGATCCTTGGGTGCAGCAGTCCCTACAAGACTGTCTTGTGCAGACAGCAGAGCCCGTAGGGAAAGAGCTTCACGCCTGCCCTCCACCTGACCCACATGATGGAGGAGACAAGAGCAGGCGGTCGTGATGATGGGGACAGGGATGGTGACAGTGATGACGACAGTGGCAGAGGATTCTCTGCAAATCTATCTTCCAAGTCCACCCCAGGCCTCCCATGTGGCACTGTCACAGTCCCGTTGTGCTCTATGAAAGCCAGTGTCACGGGTGGAGACTATGTGTCCACCCATGGCTGGATCACAGAGGCCACTGGACACAGGCAGTCCCAGGGCTCACACGCCTGGCCTCGGCCCCCACCTCACGCCCCGGCTCCCCTGAGCTGAGGTAGGACTTCGGCTTGGAGCCTAAGTCAGCAAATGCCAGGATTCCCCACCGGGACAGGGCGGGGAATGGGGGGCGGATAGAACCGACAACCCCGGCCGACACTTGGAGAACAGGAAACCCAAGCAACTTGGGGACAAAAACCAAAACAAAACTCTGCCACGGCTCGGGCACAGGAGGAGGGGTGGGCAAGCGGGCGGGCAGAGTCCAGTCGGGGTTTTGGGCTCCTGTGCGTGGTCCAGCAGGCGGCAGAGGTTGAGGAGCCAGGAAACTGCAGGCAGCCATGGGCGGGGGACATGGGAGGTGCATCTCAACGGAGTTCACCACCAGCTGCCTCTCGAGACCTTGCCAGCTTTGTCACTCTGAAAGAGAGAGCAGAGATCTTGGAAGCCTGACCTCAGGGACCCCTGACCCTCCCAGCAATCCAGGCGCCCGACTCACAAAGACTAACACCCTCATCCCCGCAAAACAGCTCTGGGCTCTGAGCAGAGCTGTCCACAGGCAGCAAGGGCAGCACACATAACGCAAGCAAAGTGCTTGCAGCAGTCTGTGCACAGGGAGCCCGAGGCTCCCAGCTGCAAACCCCATGTCCCTGCACCCCAGCTGTAGCTCGACATGGGCACCAAGGGGCAGACAGGGGCTACAGGCCGTGCCCACCTCACTGGCTCCACAAGCCAGGCAGGCACAGAGCTTGGGAGGTCACACCTCTGCCCTCAGAAAAATGCTCCCACAGCCTGTGTCATGGCACACACCTGCCAGCCAGCACTCTGGGAGGCTGAGGCAGGACTCCAGGGCAGCTGAGTGACTTTTGGAGAACTTGTCTCAAAATATAACTTAAAGAGCTGGCAGTGTCCTACAGGTTCAACGCCCAGCACCACCGAGAACAGGACAGAACAGGACAGGAAAAAAGAGACCACCTGTCCTCATCATGGTTCCTGAGACCTCTGGCCCCAGTGACACACTCCCCAACACCAGCCTCCCCCAGGCCTGCACCTCCCACACCCCCATCCTGTGTCCCCCCACGGCCTCTTCACTTTCGTCATCCCTGGCATGTTTCCCTTCATGCTGCCAGGGCGAGGACAGAACCAGCTGGACAACCTGACAGTCCATGCTGACGCCATGCACAGTGACTCCATCGCCGAGACACCGGGAGGCCGCAGGGACCCTCCTCCGGGTGGCTGTTTCCCCGGACACAGCACGATCTCCCCAGCCCTGGCAGGATCTCCCCAGCCCTGGCAGGACCCCAACACTCCCCCACCGACTTGCAAGGCCTCTTCTTTCCTACCCATCTTTAGTCCAGAGGACTGATCAGCAAGAGAAACCCTCAGTGCCCCCCAAAGCAGGGACTGCCCCAAATCACGCCCATCATCCACGTGGGGTAAAACATGCCTGCAACAGGACCTCAGCACACAGGGTCTCTGCAACTTGCCACAGCTTTCCAACACCTCCCCCACCACAGACAGGCGGTGCTACTTCCACTGTTTGCAAAAAGCTTTGGTCCCTTAACTGCCACCCAACAAAACTACCAGACAACTGGGCCCCAACTCTGCTCACAGGAAAGCTCCGTCCTCTGCCACCTCGGCCATCCCTGGGGTCTTCAGTCCCAAAAGCAACAGTGCACGGCCCCAAGAGCCACGTCTGCTAAGGTCCACCCCAACGCGGGTCCGCGCTGCTCCCTCAGCCCTGAGCAGACCAGGCAGGTCTCCCACCCGCCTACTTTATTTCCTTCTTCAGCCGCCTGCGCTGAGCCCACTGCCTCCGTGAAGCCCGCGCCTCTGATCTCACAAGGAGGTTCTCCAGTCCCTCCACCTTAGACGCACTCACCTAAAAATGAGTGAGGGTAACCACCGCTGGGAAATGACCCTCCCATCCATGGGGACTTCTTGGGGCCACCGCAGCTGTCACTGTTCTTGGAGGCCAGCATACTGCGGAGAACCCTGCTCCAGCCACCAGACCTTCCTGAGCGTGAGATAAGCTACACACAGCATCAGCTGTGAAGCCCTGCGCGATGACCAAAACTTTACTATTTTGAGACAACTCCTAGCTAGATACTCCAGGCTGGCCTTGAAGCGGTACTGATCCTCCTGCCTCACCTTCTCTAGCACTGGGATTATATATACCACAGATGCCCTGCGAAACTTTAATTTGTGATTTTTTTTTTGTTTTTTGCTTTTTGGTACCAGGAATTGAACTCACAATCTTGCACTTGCCAAGCAGGGGCCGTGCTGCTGAGCTGCATCCCCAGCACCAAAGCTTTCACTTTCACGCATCAGCACTGCACAGCCCCTCAGCCACACACACCTCCATGCCGTGTTTTTCACTCAGGCTCCACTCGGGCACAGGCGATGGCCCAACCCAGGACCACCTCCTGGGTTGGACAGCTGCTAGCGCCCAGTTCTGTCTCCTCCAAGAACTGCCACCCCCCCAGCATCCACTCCGTGGGAGTCATGGCCTCGGACTCCTTGGGGACCATGTCTGCACCCTGTTCCTTCACCACCCACCCTCGCTGCAGCTGGCTGGAAGTGCCCATCTCAAAGCAGGACAACAGGCGCTGTCCCTGGAGGGTGTGGAGTATGAGCTCTCAGCTGGGTCCACACCTCCAGAGAAACTCGAAGACTCCTCAAGAATCCAGGGGTGGGCCTGGCACGGCAGTGGCCACCTATAATCCCAGCACGAAGGGAAGCTAAGGCAGGAGGATCCAAAGTCTGAGACTAGCCTAGGTAATTCAGTGAGACCCTGTCTCAGAATTTAAAAATGCAGAGACCTGAGGGTGCAGCTCGCAGCGAAAGTCCTGGGCTCACTTCTCAGAACTGAGAGGAGGAGAAGTAAGATAAGGGTGCAGGGGGGAAGACATGAGTCCAACCACCCTAGCCCCTGGACACTCGTGAGGACCCTGGGATGTTAGGGCGCCTGGCGGTAGCCTGCCTGCACGAGGTGCAGTGGGGCAGCGGCAGCTCAGCTGGGGTTTCAGGTTCGCCGTGGCCAGGCAAGTGACCCCTCAGAGTCATGGCAGTGTCATGGTAACCACTCCCAGGGAAAGAGAGTGCTTGACTGACAGCTGCCACGGCTCCATGGAAACGGCTGGGCTGAAATCCAACCGCACTGCTTTCCAGGAGCCTCCATGAGGGACGGCCACGGTGACTGAGCACAGGGCTGTGTCTGGGGACACCGCAGAGGGGCCTGTCCCCCCTTCTCAGCCCCATCGGTGCCATTCCCAGCTGCTGCTCGAAGACCCCAAGAGCAGGGGAAGAGGCAGAGTTATGGGCCCAGCTGAGGCTTCAGGCACCAGGTCTCCTAGCCTGAAGGTCTGCTGTGCAGTGACCAGGCCCCTGGAGGATGCAGAGGCAGGCGAGTGGGCAGTCTGGGGGAACAGGGCTGCCTGGTGCCTGCTCTGTGGCACAGCCTTGAGTGGTCTATGCCCCCAAGGGGGGCTCTGGTAAGCAGTCAGTTATCATGACGCTGGTTCTGAGGAAGCCACCAGGGCGCTGCCTGGCAGGGCCTCGAGGAGAGAGACAAGCGGTCCAGACCCAGCAGGAGTGGAAGTGAGAGGAAAAGCAGTGCCCTGGGTAAAAAGGGAGAAAGGAGAGGAGGAAGGCAACATCGGGGAGGAGGAGAAGGAGGACAGGAGAGAAGCAGGGCGCACAGCGGGGAAGGTTGGAAAGCACAGAGTAAAGAAAAAAACCTGTTTACTAAAACACACGACAGTGTCCCTGTGCTTCGAGGACCAGGGGCCTCCGCACCACGTGCATGGCAGGGGCCAGGGCCTCAGTCCAACTGTGCAGGCCACAGATGGACTGGTCCAGCCTAGACCCACGGGAACTTCTCAGGAGAATCGGCTCAGACCCCCTTGGCGTCACAGCCACACTCAGGGTCAGGGTGGCATCCACACACCATCACCCCAGCTCTGCTCCAGCGATGCCCACAGGGGAGCAGCACCGGCCACTCCCTGCCCCCACACAGCTCAGATCAGCCTGCTACCCATCTTGGCTTCCACAACAAAACAGAACCATGGACTTCACGGAGCTACATCTGTTCCTAGCACCAAATAAATTAGTCAGGAAACAAATCTTCCAGGGACGCAAACCTATCTCCTGTCACACGTCCCTGTACAGTTTAGACCTGCAATGTTTAACACAGGGTTACAGGAGAAAATAGACTTCTCAGTTACAGGGGAATTCCTAGAAAAACACGCCTGATAATTCAGTATCTCCCTACTTTATGAAAAGCAAAACACTCTAAGAATATGAAGAAGAAAAGGAGTAAGGTAGGGCGTGATAACAAAGAGCCCAGACATTCTAAGAAAAACGGTTAAACTTTCTTTTAAATTGGAAAAAAGTCATGTAAGAGGAACACATGGGTGAGTTGATTCCCGGTGGCAAACAGGGACAGAGGTCCCCGTGCTGGGGCAGCTGTGTGAGCTCCCTGCTCCCGGTGATGATCACAGTCCCTCTGACCCTGGCGGCAGGAACAAGTTCCAATCCAGGGCGAGACGAATGGGCTATTGAACTTTCTCAGCAGGCTTCCCCAAGGCCAGCCTCCCCCTTCACCTTCCACCTTCGTTTGGGAGAGACATCAGCCTCTCCCAAACTCACCCTGCACGCCCTGGGTCCAGGGGGTGCTCAGGTAGCAGCTGGCACCCCAACCCAGGGCTCGAGCATGGACATGTGCGTCACACAATGGTCCTTCTGCAACGAGCGTTTCTCGCCCCTCTTTCCTCTCCTGCGTAACTGGTATTGTGCACATTTGTGGTTTCCAACAGGATGCTACAGGATGCAGGATACGTACTGAGTGCCATGGTTACCATGGTGAAACAGATGAATGTCTGTCATCTCAGAGTTACATTTTTGTGACAAGCAGTTAGAATCGACTTATTTACCAAAATCCTTAATCCAGTATAACTTGATTCCTGTGGTCCCGTGCTGGGGAGCAGTCCCGTGTGCTCTCCTGCCCACCTCCCTACCTGGAGCCATGGCTCTGCGCCCCATCTCTGCACAGCTGGTGTTTTACATCCCAGACCCGGGTCTAAGTGCGATCTCGCAGCACCGTGCTTTGATCGGCTCTCCATAAAGCCCCATCCTGCCCCCCAACACCACTGCAGGGCAGCACAAGCGTGGGCCCTTGCTGAGAACGGCTCTAACCTGCCCTTGCCCCTCACTTCCCAGCATCTCCACCATGCCAGTGAGGCCTTTGGCAGCGAGGCTGAACTGAAACAAACTCCCTGGACTTAGGCCACTGCTCCACAGTTCACCAGTCTCCTAAAGACAACAAAGCCCTGGGGCTGCCATCTGCAGGAGAAAGATCCAGAAGGTGGGGTGGGCGGGGTCTAGGTAGCTGCTTCAAGCTACCGCGCCACTGCTGCTGC